TTTCTGTTGAATACTTGAAGGCTTCAGATCTTCTGAAGAACTTCTTAACCCCAAACTCATCCTTGTAAACAAGTCCAAGTTCGGGTTGAGACAGAACAGAGGCATAACGTATCTCTTGCAGGCCTTGGAGTTCTTCATTCGGTGGAGTGCAGGAAAGTCTCTCAATGCCCAGTCTTAGCGCGATTTCGACATCTGTCTTCGCTCTTAGCTATACCAGGGACTCCATCGTCTTAACAACAGCTTTGTTCGCCATTCCAAACCTTATTCCATGATCATGCCGTTGAGCTGTGTAGGCATATAACTCCATCAAGTCATATGGATTGAGATTGATGAGGTCGTTTTTGTTGAAGACGCTAACTTCCCCATGAGCTCTTTCCATGCTGAACTCGATATATCTTATGGCTTTGTTGGCGAATGATCTGATTTTTAAATTAATAACTCTTCTTATACCATCGTTTGAAAAGACAGCACGCGGATCTTGAGTTGTCTGTCTTACAAAACGATGGTGCACAAGATTCATCAATTCTGGCGATAAAATAGGCGGATTGGTTGACAGGCTTTCTTCACGATCACGATATAGGTATTGATGGATATTCTCCATCAATACAGGCTCCCTGGTTGGCGCTTGAGGTATTCTTCTCATTGACTCCATTTGCTGAATTATTTCATCTACTAGGCCTGCTGGAGGATGCCTAGAGGAAGATGAAATATCTGCTTGCACCATGGGTTGGGTTGGATGAGTGGGTTCAGGTTCATGGGTTTCTGTTGGTTGGGGTGATAAAGGATGGGTACTTGTGGGTTCAGGTTGATGGGTTTCTGTTGGTTGGAGTGATGAAGGATGAGAACTTGTGGGTTCAGGTTGATGGGTTTCTGTTGGTTGGGGTGATGAAGGATGAGTACTTATGGGTTCAGGTTGTGTAGGAGAAGAGGTTTGGGTTGTTGTTTGTTCTAGTTGTTGGGGTGAGGCTGTGCGTGGTGTAGGTGATGGGGTTAAGGGTAGGTTTGATGTAGGTGAGGAAGTAGGTTGATTTGTTTGTGTTTGTGGGGTTGAAGTTTCTTCATCGGTTGAAGAGCTCAACATGATGGGGTCTGCTGGGATTGTTGCTAAGGGAACATATACAATATGTACATCATCAGAGGAYAAAGCCTCTGGTTCCTTAGCTTGGGTTCCTTGGGGTGCTTGTTGGTGTGGTGGTGGTTGTTGTGGTGGTGGTGGTTGTGGTGCTGGTTGCTGTGGTGCAGTAGATGTTGTTGTTTATGCCGCCGTCTCTTTGTTCTCCCCCTCACAAGGGCCAAGGCCTTGATCATCGGGGTCTTGGTCGTCATGGCATCGTCATTTAGACGGACGGCTGCTTGAGCAAGAGGCTTGAGACCTCTTCTTCTTCTTGTCCCTCCTGAGGGCTTTGAGATACTCCCTCAGGGATGCTCGTCTCCGCGTGGTCTCCATTGATTTGAGGAGAGAGGTGGTACAGCGCTGTTCATCAGCCAATGTTTGAGTTAAGGCCCTGGTTGGTTGGATGGCCTGATGAACAAATCTGGCACTGATTTCGTTGAACGACGAAACCAGTGCCCGGGACAGAGCGTGCATGTCCCCTTTGGTGGCGTAGTCGGTGGAGGCCGATGGTGGTGGTGGCATGGAGGTGGATGTGGAAGGGGGGAATGGGAGGTTGGTGATTAGGTGCCTCACCTCTACAGTAAAGGAGGAAAAGGCGTCTTCGAATGATGGGCCTACAGAGGGAGGGGGGAGGGATGGGTTATGGAGTTTGGACAAGGATAGCAGCGGGTAATTGGGTGAGGGTGTCTTGTATGGAGGCTATTTGCTAGGTGAGGGCAGTGAGGGATTCATCGATTGATGAAGTGGAGGGTTGGGGGATTTGGAAGGGAATGGAGGAGGGTAGTTGGTTAAGGGTGCGGGTGAGGATTTGGAGTTGGGAGATGATATA